GCAATTAATTGAATACGTTTTATTAATGACTCTGCTAGACCGTTTTGTGTATGAACATGTGCTACAGGATTTTCAACATTTATCCCAATGGACATGCAATAATCATTAAAAGCTTGAGATGTAAATTCACCAGCATTGTCAAGCCGAATAGTCTTAATGGGAGTATCTGGAAAATGTGCCCGTAACTTAATCAATTGGGCAAGTAGTCTCGCAAACGCCAGGTTACGAGTTGATAACAAAGACACATGTGACCATCTAGTTGATGCATCAATTAAAACCATAAAATATCTAAATGGTCCACATGGGGGATGTATGGGCCCACAAATATCTCCTTGTATACGTTCCAGAAAACTAATTGATTCAAAATTAATTTTAGCTGGTGATGGGCGAATAATCAACTTGCCTTCCGAGCAAGCAGCACATGAAAAATTATTATGAAGAATCTGCTGGCTCTTCAAAGAATGTCCACATGAATTCGTAATTATTTTTCGCATCATTATTGAACCGGGATGGCCTAACCGGTCATGCCAAACAACAAAATCATTAGTAAACTTCTGGTTTACTATAGCATGAGCTTCAATAACATTGATTTTTGTGTAGTACAAACCACTAGAGAATGTAGGTAGTTTCTCCAAAACATGTTTTGATCCTTGAGTTATATTTGTGATTTGAAGGAATTCGTTATTTTCTTCATTGACTGTCTCAATATGATAACCATTATTGCGAATATCCTTAAAACTTAATAAATTTCTTTGAGAAAATGGGGAGTATAAAGCATCAATTATTTTAATTTCAGTTCCCCAAGGCAACTTTATAGTGGCTCTTCCGGAGCCCTCAATGATATTTGTACTACCCGATATGGTACTTACATTAATCATTTTCATCATCAAATGAGAGAAATATTTTTTATTTTTAAGTATTGTATGTGTAGTTGCACTGTCAGTAAGACATAATTCTTCACCATTCATAGCAAATTGAACTTGAGTAATATCCATGTTCTTCATGAAATAAAATACATGTCAAAATATTAAGCATAAAAATAATGATGATAAAACAAATAAATCAATAAAAACACTCAAATAGTTCATAAATTTATAAAGCAAAAATCCTTATTACAACGAAAGAAATAAACTTAAATAAATTACTAGAATAAGCAAACATAAGTCTAATACTTAAAACTGACATAATACAATATAATTTTAATTATTCCCTTCTGGGGCAGTGAAGAAATCGGCAACTTCTAAATGAGTTGTACTGTCAAAATCAAAATTATTCCCTTCCGGGGAAGTAAGGAAATCACCAACATCAAATTGATTGGCATTGCCAAAATCAAAATCACCTTCACCATCTTCAAGAACAAGGTTTGCCTCAACTTTCTTTCCTTTCTTCAATGATTCTTGGTAAAGTTCAATAAGATGCTTTGGAGTTCTACAAACCCGAGACCAATGACCTTTTCCTCCACAACGGTAACATATATTGTTATCACTTTTCTCTTTTTCATCCCTACGTTCCCACTTCTGGTGGGAATGTGAGTTTGTGAAATGACCTCCATGACCTCTACCATATCCACGTCCACGACCCCGGCCGCGCCATTGGCCACGACCACGACCTCTACCTCGACCACTACTGCTGGAATGGTCCCTGTTTTTAGTTTCTTTCCCGTTATGGGTTGTCACATTCACTTCAGGGAATGGAGTAGAGCCAGTAGGACGTGATTCATGATTTTTCATTAACAGCTCGTTATTTTGCTCAGCCACAAGAATACAGGATATTAATTCAGAATATTTTTAAAAACCTTTTTCTCTATATTGTGTCTGCAGGACAATATTATTAGCATGGAAAGTGGAGTATGTCTTTTCAAGCATTTCTGCATCAGTAATATTTTCTCCACATAATTTCAATTGAGAAGTTATTTTAAACATAGCTGAGTTATATTCACTAACAGATTTAAAACCTTGCAATCTCAAATTTAACCATTCATAACGAGCTCTAGGGAGTATCACTGTTTTTTGGTGGTCATACCTTTACTTTAGATTACTCCAAAGGATTTGTGGGTCTTTCACAGTTAAATATTCATTTGTGAGCCCTTCATGGAGGTGATGGCGAAGAAAAATCATGGCTTTAGCCTTATCTTGAGGTGTTGCCTTATTAGCCTCTTTTATTGTTTCACCAAGCCCTTTAGCATCTAGGTGTATTTCAGCATCTAACACCCATGCTAAATAATTCTTTTCGGTAATATCAAGGGCCACAAATTCGAGCTTGGCAAGGTTCGACATTTTCAATGATAATAATAATATGGATTCTAGATAAATGTTTGGTAATCCTACTCAGTTGACTAGCAATGGTGCTGATAACGTGTTAAATATGGAATAGAAAATAAAGAGAGATGAGGGAAGATTGTTACGTTGTATTTCATATTCCATCTAGTACGGGATATATATAATGTACATTTCCTAGGGTTCCACCAATGGATAAGACCAAATACCCAACTCTAGAATATTCTAGATTGTACATGGGATAATAGTCATCCATATTTAGATATTATTATAACACAAAACCTTTTGTTTTTGCCAATTGGTAGAAGTTACACCTGGTTGTACGTTGATTTAGATGTAATCACCAATTGGATGCAATAACAATGATGTTACATAGTAATTTTATTATTATGTGATTTTTTTTTTCTTTTGACAATGTATATATTATAGTGTTACATGCTTTTATAATGATGTTTGTGTCTTTTATGCTATTATTCCTTTTCCGATTGTAGTGTTTTTATTTATCACCAATTGCTTAATTATTTTTATTAATCAAGCAATTGGTGATAAATATACGTTCATTAATAAAAAAAAATCAGTTTAAATAATAAAAAATCGGTTTAAATAATAAACTAGTTTTTTTTTTTGAAGAACAAATCAATTTTAAATCCGTATTTTCTTAAAAGAGTAAAAATTTCGTATTGTGTATTTATACAAAATTAAAAATTAATTGTGATATTTTATATAACGATAAGAATATATTTTCGGATTTAGAATTTATTTATTAACAAAATTGTAACAACTAAATTTAATAAAATATCTTATAATATCTTTGCCTAAAAAAACGCCCCATAATCAATACATTATAATATTTGTTTCCCTAAAACACGCACTTAATAAAGGATTTTTTTTTAATAAAAATAAAACAATACTCCGTATTATTCATCTTCAACCTATAGTCATCTTCAATCTTTAGTCATCTTTAACCTTAACATTTAACAATGGCAGATTGTTATTAAAAAAAATAAAAAAAAATGAAAAAACAATTGCGGATGAATCATGAAATTATATCAAAATGAGCACAATATAATTTTGACTAATACTTAAATAATTTTAATTCGAATCTTTAAACAAATTACTTGATTATTTTTTAGAACTTTGAAGTTCTTATTGACGAATTCATCTAACAAAGTTAATTGACGAAATCAAAAAATATATATATTAAGTGATTTTTTAAGCAATGATACAAATAAATAAATTGATTATAATTTATGAAATATAGCTGAATATAAGAATTTAATTAATTTGAACCAGAAGAATGAATGTTTTAGGTTAAACATGAAGGTTTTATATGATATAGGTTGAACATGAATATTTATTTTTTGGAAGATATTTTTATTCAATTTTATAAAAGAATAAAAAAAATCATTTGAACAAAAAAAAATTTAACCAAACAAGACTTAATGACTGTTTTTTTGAGGTGTCGAATTGAACGCCTAGGATTAGTCAATTAACAAATTAATGGTTGAGATTTAAACTCTTATTGTAGTTGACCATAGTCGTCCGTAGTTGATGATTACGATAGAATTTTTATTGATTCTTATGGATCGGATTTCTGAATCATCTTCAATTCACAAAATTAGGATGTTGCAATGCAAATAACACTCACAAAATTGGCACCAAATGATTGTAACCCTTAGGCCAATCAGATTTAAGGTCGACAGTTTTCTAAACGTCGGTTAAAGTATCGGAAAAGTTTCCAAGAGATGTGTGAGTGGCGGATTGATTCGAGTAAAGGACAATATTTGTCGGAGGTGTCAGGGTGCATGGGGTTGCCGGCCGAGAGGAGTCCTAATATCGGCTGGAAGAGTGGGGATCGGATGCCGACGAGGGGACGGGGGCTGGAGGTGAAAGGGGGAGAGGTGGCTGGCAGTGGCACGTGCTTGGGAGTGGATTGGGAGAGGAGGTGATTTTTTAAAAACCTATTTATAAAATTATTTAATTGTTGAAAAATTAAATAACAAACCTATTTTGTTATTAAGGAAAAAATTAATTATAGTTGATCATTAATCAAAAGATCATCATTAATATTTTTTTTTGGTGCAAATCATCATTAATATTATAAATTATAAATAACCAACAGGATTTGATTATGTACAATGTACGTGTAGCCGTAGTTTATGGGTAGCTTCAATAATTAGATTTGATCATGCTACTTATTTAGTAATATTCTACTCCGTATCAATATCGGGTGAAATGCTCATAATTTTGATGATAAGGGGAGTACATTGACACCCCACTTTGACCACTTAAATAACGTATGTGTTTTGTATTACTAGAAATCAAGCTTTTTGCATAGGCCCGCATTTTAAAAATTGTTGGAAATTGGATTTTTGCCCTAATTTGAGTGTTTTAATAGGTTGTAATTTGCAAAAAATAGACTTAAAATAATGTAATTTTAGGATCTTTTATCAAACTAGTTTGACAAAAGTATTTAACAAAATGGCTAATTATCAAATTTAATTCCCAAACTTGTAAAATGGGTGGCTTTTCAGGTTGAGTTTGACAAATTTGAATATTCTTTCATATTTCAATCATGTATTGACAATGATGAAAGTCAAATGTATTGCAATTTCCACAAAACTAAACATATGATGTAATTTAGCTCAATACTTAATTAACTCATTTCAATAATATTCGTTGAATTAAACTCCAAGAATAGTAGGGTTTAATTAAAAACTTGTATAATAACATGATTGATGATAATTCACTAGTCATTGCATGAAAGGCATAAAATCAAAGAGATACAACATAGTCTATTATCTCCATTATTCCAACACCAATTGACAGAAATATATAAAAACACACTAGTAATACAGATATATATATATGCATAGAAATTGAGTCAATATATATATGCATACAACATTAATACAAGAGTCACAAGAAAAATAAACATGTCATGCATGAAACATAAGATCGAATCAGATTCATGAAGGCATTTAGCCCTTTGAATCCTAAACCTGCGTGCTCGCGTCGAGTCCGATCCAGGCCGGCCTTGCCATCACACGCTCTAATCGCTGCAATCTTGCCAAATACCCCACCAATGCGAGGAACAACACACAGGCGAACCGAAGTCAAGTGCACAAGATAATCCTTCGCAACAAGGAGCTGAAGGCCCGCATGAAGAACCTCTCAAGTAGCACTCCTGCCCTAATGCTAACTCTGCAAAATTACAACACTTATTTAATAAAATGAATTCTAAGAATAAGCAACCATAAAAAGTATATTTAACTAATTATGCAAAATTAACGGTTACCAAGTGTCATTAATATTAGCAATAATCCAATGATAGTTGGCATCAAATACTTAATTGAGGTCGCCATTATCTTTACTATATAAGCTAAGTGTTTTTTTTTTTTTTTTTTTTTTTTTTTTTTGGGGGGGGGGGGGGGGGGGAAACAATGTGCTTAATTGATTTCTAGACAATTTGCTTGTTTGAAAGGATACTAACTTTTTAAAGCAAATTCAATGGCTTGGTAGACAAATGCATCCACAACCCTTCCATTTATATTGCTTTCTATGATTAACTCACCTATTTCCATGATGATAAGATTAGAATTTTAAATTATTTAGTTTCAATTGATAGGAAGTTTCATTATTATTATAAAAAATGTGTTTTCTTAATCCTCATATATATATATATATTCTAATCTAAGTCAATTCTTGTTCTACTTACAAAATTCGGAGTACTTAATAATCATAATTGCAAGTGGGCACTATATGCCTAAATTATTGTTAATGTTGAAGTCTAATACGAAGTAGTTTTTTAATGGCGCCTTTATGTACTACGGTGTAATTATGATATACTAAGCCCTCATAAATTAGCATTAACTGTTTTTTCCTATTAGTAAGCCATAAAGTCTTATATGTGGCTAGCCACATGGTGTGGCCACTTTACATAATCACATACAAGACAATCAATTAAGCGATAGGGGGTTACAGTGATGAGAAAATAGGATCACGTGAATACGTATGCAGGTTACTTAAATGAGAAATAGTGGTTACTCTCGATCTTAAAAATTGGAATTAATCTTTCATTTTTGTAAAACAAAAGAATAGGGGTTATTCGAATGAACAAATGAAGTTAATTATTTCAAAATTATTTGAGTTCACATGTATGGTGAAGGATTGCTTTTATAGACAACATGAGATTACTCATAAGAAAAATTGAGATTATTCATACATATAAATTAAGATTACTCTTATAAACTAATATGGTCACACCGTGTGGCTAGCCACATACACGACTTACCGGTGCTTAATAGATTTCTAGCCAATTTGTTTGAAATGATACTACCTTTGTAAATCAAATTCAATGGCTTGGTAGACAAAATGTCATCCACTACCCTTCCATTTGTACTGCTTTCTATGATTAAGGACCTGTTAACATTTCTTGAATTGAGCTGAACTGAACTAATTGGAGCTGAAATAAATATTTTATGAGAGAGGGAAATTAAGAGCTAAACTGAACTGAACTGAACTGATTGGAGTTGAAATGAACTGAACTGAAATTAAGTAAATGTGAACAGGCCCTAAGTCAACTCTTTCTATGATGATAAGATTAGAATTCAAAATTATCTATCTAGCTTCAAGTTATATGAAGTTTCGTTTATATTAAAAGAATTATGTTTTCCTGATCTACAAATAATTCTAATCTAGGTCAATTCTTGTTCTATTTAAATAATGTTTTATGATCATAAATGCAAGTGGGCTTTAGTATGCCCGAATTAAAATTTAAATAATTTCAAATAAAATCAGATGGATTAAACAAAACCTTGTCTCTCTTATATATATGCGCACTAGATGCTTTCCTAGATTAGTTACATTTACTTTTTACATTAAATCCTAAGTAAATTTTATGAGTGGATTTGTAACTTTGTAAGTGTTAGGAAAAAGTTGATTTTTTCTTTCTTTTTTCTTTTCTTTGAATAAAGGAAAAAGTTAAGAGAATGTGAAAAAGTGAAATAAAGGTGACATTGGTGATGTACTGATCTATTATGATTTTTTTGGGTTTTGAATCTTTTGAATTTTTGATTCGTTTTCATTATCACTCTCTATAGTCTGATGAAATAACTTAACTTAGTTTTTCTAAGTGGATGTTTCGATCTTTCAGATGGAAAGTGAACATAGTGCATTCGAGTCTATAATCCAAAATTCCATGTCCATAAAAAAAACATATTACGTGTGTTGCCAATAAAAACATGACAAAATAAGGTTATATGTAGAGATCACATAAAACAATTGTATGTGTAGCCTTTACCTTACGTGATTATTAGATTATCACCATTGTCTATTGATATTAATTGTACCAATTTTGGTCAATATATGGTACCCATATTTCACTTTATGTACGGAGTATCAACTAAGAGTTTAATACATTTTTTTGTATCATTATTATTTCAATTTTCAATACATTATTCCTTACTACCATTACGTTATTTAAACCCAATCATTTGGGACTATGACTTTATTATTGATGATGTAGTATATTATTTTAGCACATTATAGTCCGATTCATCTTGTTATTTATTTTTTACTCCGTATTATTTAAGAATGAATATTTTCAATTAGTCCAACCAACATACAAATATTTTTTGAATTTTGTAAATTATTACGGAGTACTATATTACGTATTGTGATTTTTGTGAACTTGCCCTAAATAGGTTCACATTGCTGCGTCCTTTTGAGTTGGGGATTTCCTTTAAATTCATATATGAGAACCGACCTAGCACCTTGTCATGGGGGAATTATAACTAAGAGCTAATTCCCATAAGGGGTGGTTTGTTGTAACTTGTGTGCGTAGACACCCTTAGGGGCGGCGGCTCATAGCTCTCCATGAAGAAATGCTTAGACATAACACAAAAGTTTCAATAAATCACCTCCAATATTATTCCAAACAACATTCATGTATCATGAGTTCATGACAAAAGCATTGGCATATATATACTAATGCCAATAATACAAAGAAAGTAAAAAAATCACAACATGAAGAACTTCACTTATAACATAAATTCAAATGGAGATGCTAGCAAGATCGCGATATAATCAAACACAACCTATGCTCGATTGATAATCCTTTGCCTCGAGCCAGTGTTGATCGAGCAAGCCTATGCTCGATCCAATCAGCTCTATGGTCTAGTGGTTGCAATCGTACCACCAACCCCACAGATGAGTAGAGCAACAGTAATACGTAGCCGGAGGGTCAATCCCTCCAATATTATACGAACAAACAAATCCTTCGCAACAATCACTATCAACTTTGCATTCATAACCTCTCAAAGTGCACCACTCTGCTGAAACCATAATATCTACAAAATAACAACCAACACTAATTAGTTAATTAATCCACATTATTTTTAACAATAATACTAGCTACATTTACGTAAATACGAGATTAATACTTGGAGTACGTATATGACTAACCTGATGCCATTAGGATTAGTAGTAATCCTAGGATAATTGGCTTCAGATATTTGATTGAATGATTAGACGCCATTCAATTCTCTTGACTACCAATTGATTTCTAACAAATTAAATATGCCCTTCTTTGGAAGATGCTTTACTTAATTAGTAAATAGATCAAATTACTTGGTTTGAAAATGCATTTACATGTTCACTATTTATATAAATGTCTTTGTATGATAGTGTCAGTCAAGTTGTTATTCTTTAATTAAGCAACCTGCTTTGTTTTATATTATCATGGAATGAAGAAAGAAAATTCATTAATGATTTTTAAACGGACCATTACATGCATAGAGATCCAGTGAAGGATAGTTCAAAAGATTAGAACTTTCCTTCTGATTTAGGGAATCTTGGGATCGATTCTCATCATCCACCTTTGTGGCTCTCTAAATGCCACAAAAGCTCAAAGAGGTTCCATATAAGCCAATTGGTGTTTCAATAATAAGAGTACTCCTTTACCTTATGATCTAAAACTATCTCTCATCTTTCTCCAATATGAGACACGTACTAGTGAATATACAACAATGGGTTTTAACACAATTGATAATTCATTAATAAAACTTCATATGACGTACGTACATAAGAGATCGAGCTAGCTATACAAATACATCAAAACTACAATTGTAAGAAACTCATAATTAATTATGAAAAAAATTTAAAAAATTATAATAATTAATATGTGAAATCAAAAAATAAACTTTTAAACAAGAAAAATTATCTTAATAAGTTTGACCAACAAATAGGGCTACAAATGAGCGATACGTTTGTGAACAACTCGTGAACAAGCTCGTTCAAATTAAAGCTCGATCAAAACTTGTTTATTTAGTATTGAACGAGACCTAACAAAAATTTGAGGCTCGTTTACACCTTTGTGCTCGGCTCGTTAATGTTCACAAACACTAGTTCATAACTCGTACATTTGATCGTTCATATGCACATTTATAATTCGTTCAAGCTCGAAACAATTAATTTCATTGTTTTAATTATTCTTAAAATAGTTGATCAATTTTAATATGAAACCAAATCAATTATAATCAATTATCGTATATAATCAAATTATCCATGTTAATAATATCACATAAAATTAAAATATATGGAGTATTATTTTTAAGAAAGTGAATAGTATATTTACTCAATTTTTTTATTTATAATATCAAATACTCAATTACTGCCTATCTTGTTGTTATGAGAAATATCATCAAAAGTGTTTTTTGATTAGAGTATACTTATAGTATTTCAAAGTTAATTAATATTAGCTTGATTGAGCTCGTTCAAGTTTGAGCTTGTTCACATTAGAGCTTGTTCAAGCTCGAGCTCGAATCACAAATGAACAAGCACAAGTCGAGCTTGAACAAGGCAAAACCTTAATGAACAAAGCTCGAACACAAAATTATGAAGCTCGTTCAAGCTCGAGCATGTTCGAACACATAAAATATTTTATCAAGCTTAGCTCGAACAAGTAAAAACTCGACTCGGCTCAGATCGTTTGCAGCCCTACCAATAAAAACCTAAATAAAAATTCAGCTAATTAAAATTAAGTATAGTGGTAGACTGGTAGTCATTGTACCATAGAATTTTCACTAATAATGCGGATGTAGCAAAATTTAAAATTTTTGTACCCTATATACATCCAAATCTTAGTTTATATTAGTGTTATAGATAATGTGGATGGTAGACCTTATTTCAATAGTTAATCACTCCAGTCGACAAGTTAGTCACTCGATTCATCCATGGATAATGGATGGTGAATTTGGATTGAGATTAATCGGATGATGGATGAGTTGGATATCCACCTCTGAATCTTCGATTCATTGCCAACTCAATAAACTCATTGTTAAAAACTTATTATTAAATTGACATGCACGTGTATGTAATAAATATGCTACTCGTAATCTTTTATCTAAGTCTAAGTCAATTATTATTCTAATTGAATCCGTAAATTATGGATCGGAGTAATTAGCCATCATCAATGCAACTTAGAGAGTATCTCCTCCGTACATAAGAAAATACTTTCTCTTCTTTTGCACCAAAAATAATGAGTAATTATACTTCCTCTATTTTAAAAACCTAGATATGTTTGATTCATTTGATTTTTCTGAAAAAAAAAAAAAAAAAAACTAATAAGCGTCCCCAGGGCGCTAAATAAGAGAAATAAAAGTGGAAATATTAGAGTAAAACTAACATTGATTACACCGAACGACGCGTGATTTTGTCATGCATTCCTAACTTAATATATAATAGGCCGTCGTCGAGCCTACCAAAGATAGAGTCATATCTTGGTCTCACTGGCTAATAGCAAGAGTAAGAAAGGGTCAAACCCAAGAGAGGCGTTGAATCAACCACCGAGATACTACCGTTTAAATAAGCTAAATGAAGTCGAAATTGGTTCGGTTTTTATGTAACATGTACTAGTTCAAATCAACTAACACTAAGGCTCAACAATAATTAGAGAGTTATAGGGCTCAGGATATACCACTCAATTTCGTCACAAATCACAAATAGCATGTAGCAAACAATGGTAAATTAAGGGGATAATATAGGGGAAGTCATCCAAAACACCCTACTACTCTCTCAAGCTAGAGGGATTACTTGAATCATGAATACAACCTACTCTCGTGGTTACAAAGCATAAAACAAGTGTTAAAGCATAATCACGATGACAAAAACATTCCCTTGACTGGAAATTCCTATTCTCATGGCATTTCAAGTCAATTAAGCATAAGGGAGCTAACTCAAATTCATCTCTCGATCCTTCGTTGAGAAAGCTTAGATAATAGTTCTATCAATGGCCATATACAAGAACTAAGCAATTAAACCACTTAAGCTCAAGTAATTAACACCCAACAAGTACCAAATTAACACATGCAACAAGAAATTAGTGACTACATTGAGGGTTTTACCCAAACCCTAGAAAATTAGACTACTCACAATCCATGGAGATTAAAGCAATTAAGGGTTCCAAGTAACTCATGAACAAGAATCAACTAAAGATTAAGCTAAATAACAATCTAAGCATACAAGAATTAAGCAAGAAAATTAACAATCAAAGCAATTAAAATTGAAGAGAAGAGTGAGAAAAATATTACTAGAAGCTTGAACTTGAATAACAATGGTGGAACTTGTCTTCTACAATGATTGAGAATGAAATTTCCAAGCTAATAATTATAATCTAACTAATGATTTGAGAATATTTGTGTTTCTACAATTACAAACTAAGAGGAAGCACTAAAAACTTAGATGTCGTACAAATGAGCTCAAGGGGTTATTTATAAAGACCCCAAATAAAAAAGATGGAGAAAACAAGAGTCGGACATGGCTACAGGTTAGCACGGATGTGCTGAGGTTGGCACGGACGTGCAGCCATACTTGCACGGACGTGCCAAGGAAGGCACGGGCATGCACCTCCGAAAGAAGAGAGGCAAAACCTACTACCTTGGCCTGGGGATCCTGCACGGACGTGCCAAATGTGGCACGGACGTGCAGGCCTTGTTCTGTACAATCAGTTTTGAAACTGATTTGGGCTGGGAAAACTGCATAGACGTGCAGGATCAGGCACGGACGTGCTGAATACCCTGCACGAACGTGCTGAACTCTACACGGACGTGCAGGTCTTGAAAGCAGTAGGCAGTAGCTTTTGGTCGTGCTGGGGCACTCCTGCACGGACGTGCCATACTTTGCACATCCGTGCAGACTCTCTTAGACCTTTATCTTCACTTTTCTTCGGCTTTGCTCCATTATCTCGGCTTCTAACCTCGGTTTATCATCCATATGCCTCAAATGGTCGTCTTTGAACCTAAAAATTCAACAAAACACTAACAACCCGTGAAGCAAGGGATACACAAAAGTTGAACAAATATAGAGTAGAAGTGAACCAAAATGCCAATATACCAAGTAAACAAGGTTCGAAATCACTCTAAAATCATATCAAATAACAAGTTATCAATATACTATTTCAATCAATATAATTATTCCTTATCGAATGTCCGGGGCGCTCGTTAGCAAGATCCTTACTCTGTATTATATATGAACTTATTTTATTTTATCTGAATTTATTCCATTTATTTAATTTAATGAGCTTAATTTATTTGAATTTCTTGAAATAGTTTTGTGTGTCTTATTTTATTTTATTTCATTTAAATTTATTGTTTTTGAAATTATTATTTTGTAAATAATATATTTGCATATATTTGAAATTCCTAAAATAATTTTGTATAATACGTAGTATATATTATCTAAACTTATTGTTTATGAAATTATTAATTATATTATTGTTGTATCTAAACTTTTTATCTGAATTTATTTTTTTGTGAAATAAAATAATAATAAGATGAAATAATAATATGAACAAACAAACCCTAAGTAGAATGAATCCAAATTCGAATCATGCCACTTTAATTTGAAATAGAGCCGAGTCATAGATTTTGTTTACTTATAATTTCAAATTAACATTAAACTCAAGTTGATTTTTAATATTTTAAAGAGTTCATCCTCTATAAATTAAATACTACCCCCGTTTCTTATTATGTGTAACAAAAAGGTATTAGTTGTAAGAAACAAAGTATTTCTTTGTTTTACACAATAAGAAACAGAGGTAGTAACTATGTGATCCTAATGTATATATGTGATCATGTTCGCCACTGTTAGATAATATGTTAATATTATCTTGTTAATATTCTGTAAAGATATATCTTGTGTAATTTAGGTTATCTCATGATTAGGTTGTAAATCCTATATATATTGAATTAATCAGAATGCCTCCGATGAGGGGAATTACACTATTCTAAATGGTATCAGATTCCTACTAGGGTTTTTCCTCTCCTTTTTTTCTCTTAAAACCCTAACGATCCTAGGCCGTTTCGCCGCCTACCACCGTCCTCTCCCCCTCATCTCAGCCACATCATAGCCGCTGATTAATTGAGCTGAGCTCGCTTTGGCTCATATAAAATTTCATGTCGATCTTGAATAATAGTTAACAAACATCTAGGCTCATTAACACCCTTTAAACTGTAAAGCAAAAAATTTTGCCTTTTGAACAATTCACAAACTTGTTTTGATCGTGCAGTGTGTTTTAACCAATATATGTCCTAATAAGCATATGTTCTTATTGCAAGAATGCAATTAA